TTTTTTTACGTGGGGAAATCTTCATCCACACCTTATCTCATCGCACGGAGCGGGACAAGGGTGTCGGATTTCTATCGGCTAAAAAAATCGGTCGGGCCTAGGTGTAGTAGTCCGCAACGAGTGAAACCGATCTCCGGGGGTACTTCCCAAACACTCATAGAAAGCACAACAACATAGTAGGCAAGGGCGGTCGGAAACCCACTTGCCCGTTGTATATACCTTCTTAGATGATATTTGGTTTTCCACTTGGCTCGCCCAAGAGTGGTCTCGAACTCGCGACATCCTACTACCGCATACGCCCTTTACGAGCGTAGCTAGCGAACCCGCCGAGTATTTACTAGTTGTTGACTCATTATGTTCATCAAGTTGTCCTTATACTCTGGTATAAGAAAACTCTGGTCTTCAGTGTTGCTACAACGAACACGTGTTTTACAGCTGATGACCAAAGATGGTCACCTAAACCTCAAAATATAGAATAATAGAAAAAATAGAATAGAAAATATAGAATAAAAATTTTTCGTTTGAGGCTTGGTTTTCGAGAAAATCGACTTTAAATTTTCGCTCGGTACGCGTGCGGTACGTTATAACGGATCTCACTGTAGATTATTGTCTCGATGGAAAAAATTAAAAAAAAATTTTTATTTTATATTTTCGACTTCTTTTCTCGCGTAGAATCACCCCCTTTCCGCTTCTACCACCAGTTACCAACCAGCCTGTATAATAAATTCTTACTGGATGTGATTGGACATCTTCGTCGTTCGTTTCCCGTTATCGTCTATAGTTTTCTCGACATTCGTAAGATTTGTCTTTACAAGTATATGATCCATCGAAGCTCCTCGTTTATGCGCAGACGTCCTATTAAGTTTAACACATTTATTAAAAATAATGAATCAATTATCTTATTTTAAAGACATTGATTCGAATAACTAAATCGAATATAACATAGAAAATAAGAAGCATGAATTATCGTTAAGTCAAAATTGACCTACTTTTCATCTAAGAATCAAGGAGAGATGAAAGATCATTATTAATACAAAATTATAAATGTGAGTAATTTCACGTTACAACATTCGACTCAGAATTTTCCTAAACCACTAGAAGTGTTTTTCTCGCTATGAAATTCTTCAATATTTTTTATTAGATAGGGAAAAATATATTATTTACTTTGCATTTTCCGGATACGTTTTTTCTCTGACATGTATCGCTGGACGAGTTTTCTGGCTCAACGTGGTTGCACTGTTAAAAATAGGAATTTTGACCGCACCTCCTGGCCTCCAAGCTGGTTGTTGATTACTAGAAGCACGTTGCTTCTGACGAGACATCGATTGTTTGCACTGATTTGAATTCGTACTCAACGCTATCTTTTTTGGTAGTTCCCCTTTCTCTGCATGGCGATAATTGTCGGCCATTTTTTTATCGGTAACAGTTGTCTGCGCTTCATACAAATGCTTTTCTTTTTCCACACATCTTCCAGGGCTTAAGCGTTTCGTGAAATTGCACTGTTTCAAAGAATTCACGGAATTCGAAACTACCGACATTTGAGTCTCCACAGTGCTTTCCTTTTTCACAAGCTCTGATATAATATTTCCTGTGCGAACAGTACCAGTTGTTTGTCTGAAATGTGTGTTAACATTTGTTAAGTAGCATTTTATAAATAATACTACTTAGCAATGATTATCATCTATTTTCTTCCTCCATCATTTTTTCCTGATTAGACCGAGGACAAGATTATAACTTGAAATATTTGTATAGACTATCCTTTATAGAATGTATAGAAACAATCTGTTTAAAGATCTTCGCGTACAAATAATCATCGAACATGTATTTTATCTATATAATAATATAAGAATTTTTGAAACATTAGCTCATGAAGAGATGAACAAGAACGAGACTTGTTCGACTTTATATCCGAGTATAATAGTTCTGTGTATTTATTTAGTATATTTATATTTATTTATTTAAATCTGTTATAAAATTACTTGGCGCCATTAATAGAAGAGCTGTTTACTATACGACGTGGCATTTTACATCTTTCTAAACTTTTAACATTTTCTTTCTCTTCATTCTCGAACATTACTTGTTTCACCAAACGTGAAATATATTCGATGTAACAAAATATTTCTGCCACCCAATATCTTGAAATTAAAATCGTTTCGTTCAAAATAAACCTCTATAAATTTATAAAAAAGCAATTGTTTAGTAGTAAGAATAGCAGCAAAATGGTATTCGTATATTTTAAATACTACTTTTTTATTAGCATGACGCTTTTGAAGTAATTCTAATTGCATTTGGTCGACGCGTCGTTCTGTAATACAAATTTTATCGTGTTTAAAAATCAACGACTAATTAACTTTTAAATTACATCAAATAGATTTTCCAGAAACATATAAACAAACCTTGATTTTTTAAAGTTGTTGTAAGAATTTTTACAATTTTTATCATCCGGGCAACGTGTTTCGCCAGTAGGTTAGCCATTTGCAATTCAGCTTCGTGGCTATCGTTCGAATCGTGAATGTAAATCTTGCACCTGTTTAGCATAATTTTTTAAGCTGTTCCAAAAGTAGAATCAACGTAAATAGACATTTTTTATGTCTTTGCGTTCTTTAACAAAAAGATCGAAGTTTGATAAAAATTGACCAAAAGCTTTAAAAATCATCTAATCGACGGGAAACAATTTTAATATTTCGAAAGAAACGTTCGTTCATTTTTATTTGATACCTAGTGATGGTTTTGTCCAGTAATTGTAACATCAACGTCGGATTGACAGATTCTATCGAAATTGGGACTTCTAATCTCATCCGAAGCCGTCCCATTCGTTGCCAATTGCTCGTCAAACTCTCGTGAATCTTCGTCAACATTTTACATACGTTCATATCCTCGTAATTGATACTATCTCGTTTCGATTTTCGCATAGCTATTTCATCATTGTTATCGTTAATCGCGATTCTCGTAATTTCCTTATCAAAATCTGCAGAATCTCGTTCCTCTATATCTTTATCGTTGATTATCGACAATGGAACAGTTTCGCTACACGACAAATTTTTATCGTCGACAGTTACATGCTTATCGGTATCATTACTTTTCTGATTTTCTTGCTTCTCAGCGATTGTCTTGAGTTTGTTCTCTTTCGACGAGTCTACGTCCGCATCTTTTCCTCGAAGATTTGATTTTTCTTTCAAATGATTTATGCTTTCTGAGGATGATAAATTTCTTGAATCTCTGAGATCCTTAGATTCGTTATGCTGCAACGTTGTTTCCGAAGCTTTGCTTTCGTTCGAGTTCATGGAAAGCTGTTTAGTCGCACTGTCACCAAATGTGTCTAATTTAAGCGAATCGATCTTCAAATTATTTTTTTGACATTTTCCTTTCACATTTTGATCTTCCTTCTCAAATGTGGACGAAACATCCACATATGCAGAGTCAACGTTAACGATAGACTCATGAAGTTTTGAGAAATCTGAGTTTTCACTGGCATCGAGGTTGCCATTCTTCGTACAGAATTTTTCTGTATTATTCAAATTCTGTGACAGAGGAATTGAATCAACGACGTCTCGATGCTTTTCTTCGGAAGTTTCTTCCTCAATTAAAACGTTTTTTTCTCCAGTCTCTATTGTTGCATCATTTGTTAATTCAGTGCTTTTTGAAGAACTGGAACTCAAGAATTTGCAGCAATTTTCATTAGCAAAAAGATCGTGACTTTTTGTCACTCTTGACAGAGCAGGAATTGAATGAATATTATTTGATTTGTCATCGTTATTTTCTTCGTTTCTTGCTGATAAATCCTCCTCTTCCGTTGAAACAATATTACGCATATCTTTGTTACATTCCAAAGAATGTACGTCTTCGATGGTGTTAGGATCGTCACCTTCGACAAACGATTTTTGTAATTTTAATACTTCGATGTCATTTTCGAAAGTAGACAGATGATTTAGACTGAACGATTTCGAACGAATAGACTGTCTCGCGTTATATTTTTGCGTATCGTTAGACACTTCAAATTTGTCGATATCATTCTCTACGTTTCTTTTCTCAATCTTTTCCTCTATACACGATTTTTCAATCGCATCGACGATTCTAATCAAATTTACATCGTGATTAGCTTGAACCTTTTCCGACGAAAATGTAGAATCTTCGTCTAAGTAATTTTGTCCATTCATTTGCATTATTCCAATTTCTGCGCCACTTGCGTTAGCAATACGATTTTCTCGGTCTTCGGGTGATTTAAACGCGATATTTTCTGACATATTTTTCTTGGAAACTCCACCAACTGTACTATTTTCTTGCCTACATCTTTTCTGAAAACCTTCGTTAGTTTGATTATTTTCTTGTATGTATTCTTTCCGCAAATCTGCGTCAATTAGACCATTGTCATGTATGTTTTTTTTTCGAAAATCTCCACTAACTAGAACATTATGTGCAGCGCATTCTTTCTCGAAATTTTCATTCATTCGACAATTTTCATGCGTATATTTTGCCTGAAAATTTTCACTAGTTTCATCTTTCTTTGGCCCATGACTTTCCTGTAAATCTCCACTAATTACATTTTCCTGTCTACATCCTTTCTGGGAACTTCCATTATTCAAACAATTTGTTTTGTTGCTTTTCTTCTGCGGATCGTCACTGTCCTGACCACTTTCCTGCGTGTATCTTTTCCGAGAAATTTGCTCAACATTATCACCACGCTTGACGCTTCCCACGTTTTTCCTATCGATCGTTTGCATTTCTTTCTTCGATATATTCAACTTTATCTTCGATGGAATCTGATTTTTCTCGGCTACGATACTAAACTCTTCGTCATCTTGCTTTGGAAGAACTCTCATCGAACACGTTTGCTGTTTTATATCGAGTCCTGTATCTAAATTATTCTCACTGCTTCTTCCTTTCTTATTCGAGAAAATTTCCACTAATTCCAAAGGATAACTGAAAAGCGTACCTCCAATAGCTCTATCCTCTACATTTCGTATTCTTTTCGAAGAAACTTTATCTTCTTCCTGCAAAGAAGAACCAACGCAGTTTTCTTGCGTCGTTGGATCGAGAAGGCCTAATCCAACATTAATTTCCACGCTTGTTTCGAAGAGCTGATTACCTTTATTCAAAGAATGTTTAGGAGATGTGACTTTTCTCGAAGAATTAACGGGTTCAGAAAATTGATTACTTCCGAATACTGTTTTCTTGAAAGATGTCTTTGAATCTATCTTAAACACAGTGGTACTTGAAGAAACATCTTCCTCTTGCAGCGAAGAGACACTCGATGTCATTTGAAAATGTATTTCGTGTGTTTCGTCGACAAATTTTTCTACAGAACAATTACTTTGGTTCGTGGAATTCTTGGTGCAACTCTTCGGCGAAACTTTAGTATTACCATGGAATTCTTCGTTCAAAGAAGCCTGTTTCATCATCAACTCGTTTATCCTTAGAATTTCTCGTAGCATGTGTGCTTCGTAGAATAACGCTTCGTTTTGCGTGGAATTGTTAACCAGGATTGCTTCACTTCTTTTGCTAGTTTGTTTTTCTCTCCTCTCTTCCCTATCTCCTTTGCTGTCATACACTTCAACATTTGCCTTATCTATTGTACTCCTAATCCTTCTTCGCCTGTTCACAACCATCCATTCGGTCTCGCTATCAACGTTCCTCTTCTTCAGGCCTTCCTGTAGAAATTGCTGAAATATATTTATTAAGTATTACTTGTACCAATTAATGCTTTGCTCTATTGAGGAGAATTTGCGGACCTTTATTCATTCTCTCTGTCTAGCACCATTCGTATCATCTGTTTTAGTCGCACAGTATTTCTGTGCTTTCTGTGTTTAGAACCATTCATATTCTGTCCTTGTCACATATTATTGTCCTCTCTATCTAGAACCGCTTGTACTTCTGACCTTATCGTACACTGTCGCTCTTCTGTCTAATACGAGAGCATATGTTTGTGCTTATCGTACAATATTGCATTCCTTAACTACTCATTTGGCATCGTGGACGATGTCGTTCATACGGAACCCAGTCAAATAATAATGTTACCACGTTGCAGAAAGGAAACAGCGATATGATGAAGAAAAATAAAATATTTTATATCGGGACGAACATAATTTCAGGATTAGGGTTAATGTGAAATTTGGTATGTGAACATCATGTATGCTTTCAAATGTTCTTTGTAGTTAATTAAATTTCGAATAGGTAACATTTGCAAAGCGGATGTGAGCTTCATTTTCGTTCCATATTAGATGAATGTACTGTAAAAAGTAGTATGGAATAAATTAGAAAAGTTGTAATTATATAAAAAGTTATATACCAAAAAGAGTATATCGTATATTCTACTATGTAATGTACGAAAAATAAAATGCAGCAAAGTATAATATACAGGGTGGTTGGTAACTGGTGGTACAAGCGGAAACGGGGTGATTCTACGCGAAAAAAGAAGTCGAAAATATAGAATAAAAATTTTTTTTAATTTTTTTTTAATTTTTCCATCGAGACAACGATCTAAAGAAACAGAGCAACGTATAGAACACAGAGAGATTCCGCAGAAAACCGATAAAGCCAAGTATACAAAGTACAAGTATAAAATATTAGATAAAGAGTTTTCCTTTCTTGTCATAAAACGCTTTGATTCCACTGAGAAAAAGATCGTATTAAGGGCATAAAATTTATCTAACCTTTTGTTAGAGGAAAAGAAATAGAAGTCGAAAATATAGAATAAAAATTGAAAAATTGACAAATTTTAAAAATTACAAAATTAACGTCAATCGAGACAACGATCTACAGTGAGATCCGTTATAACGAGACGCGATAAAATGCACGCGTACCGAGCGGAAATTCAAAGTCGATTTTCTCGAAAACAAAGCCTCAAACGAAAAATTTGTATTCTATATTTTCGACTTCTTTTTTCACGTAGAATCACCCCCTTTCCGCTTCTACCACTAGTTACCAGCCACCCTGTATATAGTGATATAACAGTACGGTGACATGATAAAAGGCAACATAAAGATTAAGTATAATGAAGCAAAGTAAAATATAATAAAGTGTAATAAAATAAAATATACTACAAGCTATAATATATTTACAATCAATAATCAGTATTTGGACAGACAATAATATTGTAAAAAATATTTCGAGGTTTTCAACAAAAATAAGGTTTGTCGATAAATATTAACAGTATTGTATTGGCAATACATATTGACCCTTTTAGTTGAGAATGTTGAAATATTGACATTATACACGTATATCGAGAGTCTGCTGAAAAGATCCTTTTATTCAATATAATAAAACACAACGATGCGATAAAATTCGTTCTAATAGTTAATTGTGGCGTAGTGAAAAAAGAGAAATAAAAACTGCGTAGTTTTTATGTTAATCTCAGGAAGTAAGGTACGTATTATCGCAAACACCCGATATCACATGGAGACATATCGCTTTACCATTATACGTAGGTAGGTGTACAATATAAAAGAAAACGTAACAGTACATAAAAGTTATTAGATAGATCATGCATTTTTCATTCTAAAATAGATATCACTCTGGAGAATATCAGTAAAAAAACTTGGTCATATCTGGGTCAATTGATTAGTTTTATTACCTTTAGTCCCATTTTTATTTAGAAAAAGTGATCAAAAAATTGTAGAAAAGCAATTCAAAATGATTTACGCGTAAATTCTATAGAATATCGGAAATATTTCAACGATATTCGTAAATCTGTGGAATAATTGAGAAACTAGCTGCGATTGTAATCCCACAGCAGTGAAAATATCGATAAAAAGCGAATTTTATTTTGTTTTCCGTATGCGTCGTTTTTGATGCAATATTTTTTACCAGGTTAAGAACGGAACGATAATTAAATAAACGACTATATTTTAAAACGTAAACGGAATAGGAGGACTATTTCTGGAGCTGGCGAGGATTTTCGAAGGATTTCCAAGTTGCTCCAGATTGCACTGCGCTCCAACATTTTTGCAATTGTATCCTGAAGCCGAAGGGGATCATGATCGTGAAACCAAGCGGATCAATGGATTGTCCGTATTCGTTAAAGAAACAGAGCAACGTATAGAACACAGAGAGATTCCGCAGAAAA